CATGCCTATTTGACTTAGTTCTTACTTGAGAAAGAGGAACCTAGTCTAGGAAAACTTGGCTAACAGAAAATTGAGCTAGTTAAGGTTTTGACTAGTTTGATTACATGATTTGAACTAGAGATAATGATAATCTCACTTGGACTCATATCAATTGCTTGTATTGCTACCCAATTGATCTTGAGAAAGCCAATTTGGACATAACCACTCTATGACCAAGAGGTATTGAGTGAGTATTTGAGAATCGAGAGTCATAACACACCCCAATCTACCAAGCATACATTACTTTACTATACCCATTAGGTTTACACCTAGGTGAAGCTTACATCGCTTTTCCCTTAATTGATTAAAACATAAAAAATATTCCATTCTCTAATTGCTACTATTTAGTTTAATTGCGATCTTATGACCCCTGGCTTTGTTTGAAATATAATAAATACCCTATTATGTGACTAACTTCAGTTTCAACTAATATCGTATATGACATGCACCAATCGTAGCTTGACACATATTTTTATACTATATAATTTTTATTGATTATTTATTTTATCTTACATTTTTTTCTTCTTTTTTCATCTCCCCAACCCTTCCCCCCTCCCCCTCCCCCCAAATCAAGTCTCGAATGTGCCCAACGTACGGTCCATATGTGATATTGCGGGGGTATTTTTACTGTAGCTATTTTCGTATCTTTGGACTGTTATAAATGGTATAGTTACGAGTTTTGTGGGGAATCTTTGTTTGAAAAATGTCCACTTGTTAGATCATTGAATATACAAATTATTTGAAGTTTTTGAGAAAAGGATTTCTTTTGGTTTCTTTATTATAAGACTTTAATGCCTTTTGTAATGCTTAGTGCTTTTATTCTAGTTGTCACGAGTAGCTAACTTTATCACTAAGATTGTGGACCCAATGATGGGTGTGCGTTTACCATTGGTGGTTGCAAACATTAACCTATGCCATTTTACTTTATCTTTCACTTAAAAAGGTGAAATGGTGTTTGGTAGAATGAATAGCAAGAACTCAAGGCTTTAAATCTTATTTAATGGAAAAATTAATTACGAATAAGAAGATTCTACTTGGCATAAATTGATCACTTTTATTTTCAACTTTTTTGTATTTAGAAAAATCATAAAAAGGGGATTCTACCCAACTATTTAAAAATATTGGGTAATTATTTAGGAACTATTTGCATATTATAGAACTTTCCATTAGAAATATATCATATTAACACACATAACATTCCATTCCATTAAATGAGACACAACCTTGGTTTCTTAATCTAGATAGTTAAAGTTTTTAACAATATAGTGTCCTAATAAATTAGCAATGGCAAACTCATTTCAAACTAATGAGATAGAATTACGATCATAGTCAAGTGTCACACTAGTGAAGTAACTTTTTTATGCCTATTCCACGTGGGATTCAATCCCAAACTAGTTGAGTTATTATATTTGACATCGACCGTCTTACGCTATTTATATAGATGTAATTTTAGCGCATCACAAACCCATAACCAACCATGACAAACCCATAACAAGAATCAAACTCATAACATATGTTGACTTTGGCTATAAGGATGCGTTCATCGTGAAGAAAGGGGGAAGAGATTGAGGAGGTAAATGTCATTCTCTATGAGGCTTTTCAAAGTTTCATTTTGCAAATATCTTTAATAACTTCTTTCGGTCATCATAATTGTTATATTTCCAGTTCCAAACAAATTACAACGTGGAAAATTACTTTAGTTCCTGCTTTATTTAAATAGGTAAAATTATTTTTCTTGAATATTTCTTTATTTTCTTATTTAATGGAGAAGAATATCTCCGTTGTTAGCACTAACTCTACTATGTAAGTAGTTTTCTTTTGTTGATAAAATGATAGATCTTGAAATTTTAATATAATACTAGATGTTATTTTTTAATTTCACTTGCTTGAGCTGAAAATTACTAACTTTATATGCTTTACAATTAGATGTTGTTCGATTTTGTTATATCTATGTATTTTATATCACAAATTAACTTTTTACTAATTATGTGGTTAAGAGCGAGAGAAAAAATAATATAGTTAATAGTGGTATTGATTGGTGTTAGCACTTATTCAAGTCATTCTATATGTGATTAGCATTTTTCTATATTTATTATTTGACAGCGTACGACTTGAATTTTACATACGCCAGACATTGATGATCATGTTTTTTTCTTTTAAAAAACAGGAGTAGTATTTTTCTTAGGTTTGGCGTCTGATTTATATTTCCAAAGAAGGATGAATTAAGTCAAGAAAATGGTATTGAAGAACGTATTATCTCAATAATTTATGGAGGAAAAATGGAAGAAGAGAGATATACAATAATAACAATAACAAATTCAATGTAATTCACAAGTTAGTATGAAAAGGGTAATGTTTACGCAAATCTTATCTTTACCTTATGAAAAAAAGAAAAAGATATATGTAATTTTAAATGAAACCCAAATATACAAACCTAGATCAATTCAGTTAAAGAAGAAAGTGACAAAGGTCAACAACTAAAGAATACTAAGAAATAAAAATAAAATGGAAAATATTAACTTCAACTTAATTATTCGTTAAAAAATCTAATGTATCATCCTTCTTTACCTTCCCGTGCCATTCAAAAAGTCGATCACATAATTTTTTACCATTTATTTATTAAAAATTGTAGTTCAGGGATTTATAAAAAAATATAAAAATACAGTACTCCTAGTTTAGGGATTTATTAACCACCAAAGATTTATTTGGTTGGAAAACAAATTGTACCGGGATTAGTTATCCCAGAATTGTTATATCATCTTTCCGTAGAGATAAAAATAACATTACAATCCTGAATAAATAATTAGATTAGTTATATTATATTTTTGTCCCAAACAAACTTGAGATAAAATCATCTTAAATTTTAATTCCGTGATTAATTATCCTTATAAGAAGAAACCTAACTCTTAATAATAATATGATTAATCATCTATACTAATTCTTACTAACAAAGCATGTCATTTTATCGTGAATCAAGTTAGAGAATAATCCTACACTCCTGTCTGAAAAATCATTTCTCTCCTACTCTCAAAACAAACCAAGTGACTCCACGCGCAACAAAATTCTCGGAGAGGAAAATCAAGACTCGAATTCTAATTGGTACGGGATAACACGCTCCATTAGAAGCGGTCAGGAAATATTCTTGTAAGACAAAAACCGAGCTGTTATTTTATTATTTACAACCACTGACGTTTCAGAATTTTATATCCACACTCACTTGTAACTTTACTCCTCTCTCTCTCTCTCTACAAAACTCCTTAGGGTTTTGATTTTTCTTCAACAATTTTCACAGGTCTTGACCAAATAACAAGATAGATTGGTGGGTTTTTTGATTGTACCACTGTTGGGAGTCTAATTTTTGAGCACAAGGAAGAAATGGAATAAAAATCCTAGCTTTCCCCTGACTATGGTTTGGCAAATTGCAGCAAAAACCCTAGTTCTTGGAAGATGAGTTCTGAGTGGGAATGCCACAGTTTCCGCCTTCTTAGTTTGGGAGGCTTCTGCTGAGGTCCGTAAAGCCTTCAACTTTGTTTCTTGATTTTAGCTGAATAGAGAATGCATGAACTGGCTTATTTTTTTCTATCTTTTAGGTTGACATTTGTTGGTGCTCTTTTTTTTGTGTGGGAAACATCAGATTTTTTGGTGGATTATTTGATTTTTTGCTTGTTTTATTGTGAATTTGTTGGATGCAGTTGACAGAGCAAGGGCGGGTAAAGGAGGAAAATGGAAGGAAATGAGCATGAATTGATACTGGCATGTGTGATTTCAGGGACCCTTTTCTCTGTGCTGGGTTCTGCTTCTTTTGCTATACTTTGGGCAGTTAATTGGCGGCCATGGCGGATTTACAGGCAACTTATTTTCCAAAATTTTCGGTTGTCATATTTTTTTCTTGTTTCTTTTTTCATATGCTATATAGTAAGCATCAATTATCTTGATGCTGTATCCTGGTGCGCGTGGAATTTTTCTTCTTGCTTGTTTTAAATGTGGCTCAAATGTGAATAATGAAGGTTACCTGGGAAATTTATCCATACGGGCTTTTTTTGAGAATTTATCGATATGGTTCTTAGTGCCTCAGGAAATTATATTTCTAATTTTAATTGGTGCTTTACAGCTAAAATTGCAGCACCTGGAGAGGACCTATGAAGAGGAATAATAATGCCACTTACAACCTAAAAGAACAGGGAAAAATAATTAGAACACACATACAATATTTTGTGAACATGCGAAAGTAGGTAACAAAAGAGTGTGTACTTGGAAAGGGAGACTGATCTTGCTAAGTGGAAGATTCATTTTATAGTTTCTTGTTTCTAGATGTAAGGTAGAGAATATTTATTTTATAACTGCAGTTTCTGGACTAGCTTGCAAGCATCTTGATTAATTCACGGGGCAGTCCATCTAGTCCATAATACAGGTTATTAAGGTATTTCTGCACATCTAGGATAGAATTTGGAACCTGAAGTCTCCAAGTTTTTACTCCCCTTTCTCAGCCTTTAGGCAATCCCTCTGGGATAATAATATAGTGATTTGAGATGAATAAATGACTTGCATCTGCTGCTTTTTGAACCTTGGCATTTGTTCAACATGCCGCACTACAATTTTTTCGATGTAGTAGACACTTTCTATATCTCCCTTTTTGTTTTGTTTCTAAATCTATCTCTTGTCAGTCTTAAAGTCCCTAATATGTATCCATCTGTGCACTGGAAAAGTTGAAGTTCAGGCTACTTCAACTTTATATTATACTCCACATTAGCACTGTACTATCAAATTAGGCTTCCCATGCTGTCCCCTAATGATTTTGAGAAATGCCAAATCACAAGATCGTTTCATCTCATGCGACACTTGTTGGGTTTGCAACCTCATAGGTTTAGTGTGAGTTATGTGTGCTGAGTGATTTAGGTTAATTAGTATTAGTGATCATTGCAAAATAATTTTGTTGTAAGGTAGCAGCCCTTTGTCTGAATGGAAGTGTCAAATGCGTTGCTAGAAAAAGAACTCTAAAAGGCGTTCCACATAGGTAGATAATCCATTCAGTTCAGAGGAAAATCCTTCTAATTTATGGTCTTCTATTTTAACTGGTTAACGAAATTAGCCTGGGGTCTTACCCGTCAAAAGGAATATATGTATCCATTTGCTGTATGTATAGTTCTGTAAGACGTCTGTGGCCATTAACTTTTTTGGTTTAGTATCTCTGTCATTTTTTTATACTCTTGTTTACATGGGATGTGACCTCCAATGACGCCGTCTAATAACAGTACTACATATTAATGGCTTCAAAAGAGAGATATGCTGGTTTAACCGCAGCAATTGGCGTTTTTGTTATTGGTCTTTGGTACCTTATCTATGAGTAATGAGAATGTGTATTCACCCCCTTATGCTGTCCAACCGTATTTGTTTATTTATTGTTTGATTTGATATATCTTTCTAGCTACATGTTTACCATACAATATAGTTTATGTATTTATTCAGATTATCAATGTTTTGCTTTTTGTGGATGGAAAAATGTTCTCCTTTGTGGTTAATCTCTTCTTGCTTTTTGCCTTTCAGCTGGATCTTTGCCCGAAAATGGCCGGGATTTTTACAAGGACCCCAGCTTGGAATCTTATGTAGTTTCTTATCGCTGTCTGCATGGATAATTGTGATCTCTCCGGTTGTGGTGCTTGTTACATGGGGATGCTGGTTAATGTTGATATTGGGGCGAGATATTGTTGGTCTAGCTGTAATAATGGCTGGAAGTTCTCTGCTTCTGGCATTCTACTCAATAATGCTTTGGTGGAGAACACAGTGGCAAAGTTCAAGTATGTATTACTTCGTCTCCTATACATGCGTGGAGAACAACCTATTTGTCTGTGAGGAGGAAATATGAATGTACTCAATCGTGTTGGTTACACACACACACTTTCATACACACACTCTGACACACATACATTTACATAATATTTCAATATTATTACCATCCTATGTTTAAGCTAAAGAAATGTTGATGTTCATTGGCTGTGAGAAATAAAGGCATGTGGAATATTATTGAGATGCGTTACTACAACTGCCTTACGGTGAGTGCTATTTATACATATACTTTACACAGTATATAAAATGCATTTGCCAATGTGGGATACTGAGTAACCATATACATGAACTAACACTCTCCTCAATCCTGTGCATATAAGTCATATGTGCGAGCTTGTTACAATGTAACTAATATGAGGACCAGTGAGGGAGTTGATGAAAATATCTGCAAGTTAATCATTTGACTTCACAAAATTTGTAACAATATTTCTTGAGTGTATCTTTTCTTCGACGAAGTGATAGTTAATCTCAATATGTTTAGTCCTCTGATGAAACACCAGAATCCAGATTTGATTCAATATGAAGGGCCACTTGATTATCGCGCACAAGTTCCATCTGACTAATTTGTCCTAATTTTCCCCAAATTGTTAATAAAATTTTTTACCTTATAAAAGAAAGTTCCATTTGACTAATTTGTCCAAATTTCAATTCTCGGAGCAATTGTTTGATCCAAACTGGCTCACAAGTTGCTATGGCCATTGTTCTATATTCTGCTTATGTACTAGATCGAGCAACCATGCTCTATTTCTTTCTCTTCCAAGACACTAGATTACCTCCTACTAAAACGTAATATCCAGAGGTAGAACGCTACTATCGGGAAGGTGATCCTGCCTAATAAATATTCCTGCCCAATAAATATTGGTGTATCCAACAATTTGCTCATGGCTTCTATCCTCGAATTGTAGTCCTTTGCTTTAGGCAAACTTTATATATCAAAGAATGCGGACAAATGCATCCCAATGAGTGTCATATGTGAGTCCACAAGTAGACTTACACATGAAATGAATTGTCAGGTCTAGTCATTGTGAGTACCAACCAGTCGTTCAGGATTGCTAAGAGGCTCCCTTTGTCATGGCAAAAGTTTAGCATTCGGATCCATAAGAGTGTCAATAGGTCTACAAACCGTCATTCGTGTCTCTTCAAGAATGTCTAAGACATACTTTCGCTGTGAAATAATAATACTTGATCTAGACTAGGCGACCTCGATACTTGGAAAATACTTCTATCTTCCTTGATCCTTAGATTGGAAGTGTTGAAAAACATGTTACTTCAAATTAGTGATACCATCTTGATCATTACCTGTGATGGTGATATCGTCAACTTACATCACCAAATAAATAGATTTGAAGTAAATTGTCGATAAAACACGGAGTAATCAGCTACACTATGAGGCATTCCAAACACCTGAATGTTGTGTTGAACTTACCAAATCACGCTCCAGGAGATCAACAAAACAAGAGAAACAATAAGAAATTGATCTAGATGCGCCTGATCTGAAACCTGGTGTTCTGAATTTCCTGGAAAAAGGATGGGTAGGTTGGAATCACAAGACGAGTCACCAGAACTAAGAATCTGCTTTGGAAGTCGCCAGAACTTTCTTCACGTGCTCGGGGTGTGGGCTTACGCGCCATCTGAGGTCTGACTGGGACCGGCGTGTGGGAGCGCATGGGAGATCACTTGCTAGGCGTGTGGGAGTGCCTGAGAGATCACTTGCTAGAGGGGTTTACTGTGTTTTGCTCGGCGAGTGTGGGGACACCTATGGTGATGTTGGTTTACGCCTAACACTGAGGGAAACATAATGATGCAAAACAGAAAGTTGTCAGAAATTGAAGCAAGGCAACTATCTGATTGAGTTTACTTTCCCGTATGTTCTCATGAATGTTGTAATACCATGTGAGAGATAAAGGTACAGGAAAAAATATTATTGAGATGCATTGCTACTGTTATCTTACATTGTTGAAGATAGTTATTTTTGTTTTTAACTATTTAATGAGAAGATAACATAAATGAGTTAACGTTGGGGAATATGCAAATGATTTTGGTGTGTAGGTCAATTTCATTGTCTGTGATCTTGTACACTTGAATATATTCATATTTGAGCAGGTTAGTGATATCAAGATTCATCAGCACATTTCCAAGACTTATTGAGGTTTGGTTGCTACATACTGAAATAATTGAAATTGGTACAATATCGTCTTGGTGGAAAGAGCATTCTATTGATAAGTTGACATTGGGCGTTAGTCGGAAGAACATTCTCTATAGATTCTCTACTTTTTAATATACTACTTGTGTAGGGGAAATTTCCTATCATAATAAAACTATTTACCTTATAAAAGACTATGATATTGGAGATCTTCGACCCAATTTAATTAGAGGCTGAGCCATGATTTGAAGCTTATATGTTCGGGATTCTAGGCCTTTTAAATAAGTGGGTACTGAATTGACAATTTGTACATAGTCAATTGATTTTTTAAGACAAATACATAGTTTAAAACAAAGTTACGGGGTTCGGCTGAACTCGTAACTCAAACGCTAGCTCCGCTCCTGAATTTAATTTAAGCTGATAACTTGATGTATAGAGTTTTTTTTTTAATAAATTATACTGCACGTGCCAGCCATCATTGAGGTAGTTTACTTTTGACTGCTGTGGTTGATAAGATTATGTACAATTTGATCACCGAGGGTGTAGCATAGTTTTTGATAGTTGATGATGTTGGAATGAACACCATGAAAGACCAGGATTCGAATCCAAATATAGGCAAAAAATGTAGGTCAGACTCTTCGATCTATCTAAGCCTTGGTGGACAGAGTAATTGGATACCTACATTGGTGAGAGGACACATGTAACAGTGGAAAGTCAAGGAGTGCACAAACTCTGACACTATAAAAAGAAAGATTTGTACAATTTGAATTTACGAGACAGTCTGAATTATGTACAGGAAATGTCTTATTAGTTAAAAAAAGTCTTTTTAGTTGCTATCAATTAGCTACGTCAGTTCTCTCCACCCAAAAATGTATTTCAAACTCCAGACCCCCCCAATCAATTGCTACGGATGTTGGAATTTTCTTCGAAGGACCATTAACTCGTGTTCGGCCCATCTAAGGTGGTTTCTCAGTTTGGTTTCTTCCTCTGTCTCCAGCCAACCCCTACACATATTGCCAATTTTAAAGATTTTTTCAGACCAGAGGTGTGAAGTGACACCCGAAAGCCTGATCCGAATTCACTTGGGACAATATACTCTGCTGATGGAGTTCCCCATTCTAGCTTGATATTCAGACTTCTCCATCTCTACGTTCTTATTAGTTCCTTAGACCTTCTGATTTTGATGGTTGTTCGCATTTAAATTGTAAACCATTCATCTCATAGACTTTTGAACCCTGCCTGTAACTTTCCAATGGTTTTGTACCCATCTTCTCAAATTAGGGCATGCAGTATCTCACAAAAGCTCCCTTCAAACCTGCCAGCCAAACAATTCTGGACATGGTCTCCCTTTCTCTTATGATATTGCTATCCACATCCACCTTTCTAGCCGTCGTAGTTAAAACATCTAGAGAAACTTCATCATCCCACGGTTCCAAT